GTTTTTGAGATGGACACTGAGGTGCAATGGTGCAATCTCAGCTCACTGCAACCTCTGCACCGGGATCAAGCGATCCTCCTGCCTCAGCCTCCTGAGTAGCTGGGATTACAGGCGCCCAACACCACTCCCAGCTACTTTTTGTATTTTTAGCAGAGATGGATTTTCACCCTGTTGGCCAGGCCGGTCTCGAACTCTTGACCTCAAGTGATCTGCCCACCTCGGTCTCCCAAAGTGCTGGGATTACAGGCGTGAGCCACCTCACCTAGCTCCAAAGTTCACCAAAGTTTATCTTAGCATTATTTCATTATTTATTTCAACTAAACCCTGAGAACGATTCAGATTCCTAGTGCTGGGGGCAAGCCTTCCCCAGTCAGGCTTCTGCACCATGGTCTTTCTGACACCCTGGCGCCGAGGCATCAGTGGGCTTCTGCTCCCACCACACCCTCCCTGTTCCTCTGGGAGCCCCTGCCCCTCCCTGTCCCACAACGGCAGAGACCGACAGAGCCGGGCATCGCACTCTGCCCTCCCTCCCAGATGCTGAAAGGCATTTCAGGGCCCGATTCTACCCTCTTCCCATCTTTAACAAGCCATTCCTGCTGCCGAGCCCGCGGTGAGACCCGGCACCGCCGTCAGGCCACTCCTGGGCCTTGCTCTCCGGCTCCGTCCCGGCTCCCGGCTTCCGAGGCCACCGAGCTCTCCCCCTCCTGACCTCCCACACCCCCGTGAACCTTTCCTTCCCACCCTCCGGCAAGCAAAGGAAGCTACCAAGTGGAGGAGGGGCGACTTCTACATGTTCTTTTCCTCTGGAGCAGGACGGAAACAGCAGTCCCAGCTGGGACCTGTGTCCCGGGAACGTTCAGGTGCTGCAAGAACAGGGGGGTTCTCGTCTCCTGCCGAGGCCACCGCGCACCTGCAGCCGTCACTAGTGAGAACACAATCGCCGCAACGTACTCCTTCCAGAAGAACCACCGGAAACAAAGAAAAGACGACCATATCCCGTCACCCAGAGACAAGGAAGGGCGCCATCTCCAAGGTGGTGGGTTGAGCCGACCTGGGTGGACACTGTCTCAGTGAGGAAAACACCCATGGGCCATCTGAGCATAAACACATCAGAGAAGGGTCAGGAGAGAGGGCTGGAGGTTTTATAGAAGAAAACAGGAGAAAGCGGAGGCATTTTAGTTTAAGAGGAAAAGAGAAGAGAAGAAAGAGATCCAGGCAGCAGAACAGGAGCCACAGCAGCGAGTGCAGCCCTGCGGGGTCTCGACTTCCAGAGCCGAGGAGTACACAGCCCTGGGGGTCCCGACTTCCAGAGCCGAGGAGTACACAGCCCTGGGGGTCCCAACTTCCAGAGCCGAGGAGTACACAGCCCTGCGGGGTCCCGACTTCCAGAGCTGAGGAGTACACAGCCCTGGGGGGGGTCTCGACTTCCAGAACTGAGGAGTACACAGCCCTGGGGGTCCCGACTTCCAGAGCCGAGGAGTACACAGCCCTGGGGGGGGTCTCGACTTCCAGAGCCGAGGAGTACACAGCCCTGGGGGTCCCGACTTCCAGAGCCAAGGAGTACACAGCCCTGGGGGTCCCGACTTCCAGAGCCGAGGAGTACACAGCCCTGGGGGTCCCGACTTCCAGAGCCGAGGAGTACACAGCCCTGCGGGGTCCCGACTTCCAGAGCCGAGGAGTACACAGCCCTGGGGGGGGTCTCGACTTCCAGAGCCGAGGAGTACACAGCCCTGGGGGTCCCGACTTCCAGAGCCGAGGAGTACACAGCCCTGGGGGTCCCGACTTCCAGAGCCGAGGAGTACACAGCCCTGGGGGGGGTCTCGACTTCCAGAGCCGAGGAGTACACAGCCCTGGGGGGGGTCCCGACGTCCAGAGCCGAGGAGTACACAGCACTGGGGGGTCCCGACGTCCAGAGCCGAGGAGTACACAGCCCTGGGGGTCCCGACTTCCAGAGCCGAGGAGTACACAGCCCTGCGGGGTCTCGACGTCCAGAGCCGAGGAGTACACAGCCCTGGGGGTCCCGACTTCCAGAGCCGAGGAGTACACAGCCCTGGGGGTCCCGACGTCCAGAGCCGAGGAGTACACAGCCCTGCGGGGTCTCGACGTCCAGAGCCGAGGAGTACACAGCCCTGGGGGGTCCCGACTTCCAGAGCCGAGGAGTACACAGCCCTGGGGGGGGTCTCGACTTCCAGAGCCGAGGAGTACACAGCCCTGGGGGGTCCCGACTTCCAGAGCCGAGGAGTACACAGCCCTGGGGGGGGGGTCTCGACTTCCAGAGCCGAGGAGTACACAGCCCTGGGGGGGGTCTCGACTTCCAGAGCCGAGGAGTACACAGCCCTGGGGGTCCCGACGTCCAGAGCCGAGGAGTACACAGCCCTGGGGGTCCCGACTTCCAGAGCCGAGGAGTACACAGCCCTGGGGGTCCCGACTTCCAGAGCCGAGGAGTACACAGCCCTGGGGGTCCCGACTTCCAGAGCCGAGGAGTACACAGCCCTGGGGGTCCCGACGTCCAGAGCCGAGGAGTACACAGCCCTGCGGGGGCCTAACTTTCAGAGCCGAGGAGTACACAGCCCTGGGGGGGCCTAACTTTCAGAGCTACTGAGAAATACAGAGCCTGGGGGTCCCGACTTCCAGAGCTGGGTGAGAAATACACAGTCTGGGGGTCCTGACTTCCAGAGCTACTGAGAAATACAGAGCCTGGGGGTCCTGACTTCCAGAGCCAGGTGAGGAATACACAGTCTGGGGGTCCTGACTTCCAGAGCCAAGCAGTACACAGCCCTGGGGTCCCAACTTCCAGAGCTACTGAGAAATACACAGCCTTGGGGGTCCTGACTTCGAATTGGGTGAGGAATATACAGTCTGGGGGTCCTAACTTCCAGAGCTGAGGAATATACAGCCCTGGGGGTCCTGACTTCCAGAGCCGGGTGAGGAAGGTGCCGTTTTACCCTGTTCGCACACAGGCACACACCTCCCAAACCTCCGCATGTACCAAGACCTGAGCAGAGTCTTCTGGTGATCGAGGAAAACAGCTGGGTCAGGAGGAGAGGAGCAGGGGCCTCTCCGTGAATTCCTGCACAGGCAGGAGCTCTGGGCCCCAGCTGCCTGGAGACACTGGGCAGCACCCCAGGAATGCACAGAAGCGGGGAACCCCACCCCAGGACTGTGAGCCTGGCTGCAGAGACAGGACAGGTTCAGACACGTTCTGAAAGTTCATTTTAAAGTAATTTTTAAAAAATCTGTTTTTGAGTACAGACTATGCAAGCAATTACCCGTTATTCACTCATTTGTCCCACTATTTAAAAGTCTTTACAGGTCCGGAGCCATGGCTTACGCCCTAATCCCAGCACGCTGGGAGGCCAAGGCAGGCGGATCACGAGGTCAAGAGATTGAGACCATCCTGGCCAATGTGGTGAAACCTCGACTCTGCTAAAAATACAAAAATTAGCTGGGTGTGATGGTGTGGGCCTGCAGTCCCAGCTACACAGGAGGCTGAGGCGAGAGAATCGCTAGAACCCGGGAGGCAGAGGTTGCAGTGAGCCAAGATCACGCCAGCCTGGGCTACAGGGCGAGACGCTGCCTCAAAAGGAGTCTTAATAAACACGACAGTGACTCCCCCATGAGAGCCGCCGGGAACTTCTTTACCCTGACTCTACTGTCCCATATTAATGGGTTTCTATTTTCCATCACAGTCAACAACCTGAAGCTTCTTTGTATCCAAATCTTTCTCAGAGACACCTCAGAGGAGGAGAGCCGAGGAACAGCCGAGGAGTGAGGGGCACCCTTCAGGCTCTTGATACAAAATGCAAAGTCACAGTGTCAGGATGGCACCGATTTAGACCGTCCAAAATACTAAGGTATCTACAGTTTTAAAAGTGTTATTAATTCCGTTTTTAAGACAATCTCACGAGTCTGTTTGAATACAGATGATTCAAGTTCTTAGAAAGTTTATCAGTCGTTTGTACATCCACTTCTGAAAGTCTGCTCCTGAACTCTGCCGACTTATTTTCTTAGTGTTTTCTTATCAACCTTTATAAATTAGTAAGGTTATTAATCTTTTAAGTACCATATTTTCCAATTTCACCTCGGTTTATCTTCATTGTTTACACCGCTCTCTGTGAAATTTTACATGTTGATATAATCTTATTTATCATGATTAACTCATTAAGTGCTACAGTGATTAAACAGCGAGAACCTACTGACCTTAATTTTTAAGGCTGCACAATAACTATTTGACATGACTGGGCTGTGTCCCCACCCAAATCTCATCTTGAATTGTTGCTCCCACAATTCCCACGTGTTGTGGGGGGACCCAGTGGGAGGCACCTGAGTCACGGGTACGGGTCTTCCCCGTGCTGCTCTAGCGATAGTGAGAAGTCCCAGGATTGCTGATGGATGGAAAGGGGGTGTTTCCCTGCACAAGCTGACTCTCTCCTCTGCTGCCACGTAAGACGGGCGTGACTGTGAGGCACCCCCAGCCACATGAAACTGAGTCCCTTAAACCTCTTCTTCTTTATAAATTACCCAGTCTTGGGTATGTCTCATCAGCAGCGTGAAAACTGACTAATACACTATAGTCTAATAACCATTAGAAAAATGATTTTCCAGGCTGGGCGCAGTGGCTCACGCCTGTAATCCCAGCACTTTGGGAAGCCAAGGCGGGCGGATCACGAGGTCAAAAGATCGAGACCATCCTGGTCAACATGGTGAAACCCCGTCTCTACTAAAAATACAAAAAATCAGCTGGGCATGGTGGCGCGTGCCTGTAATCCCAGCTACTCAGGAGGCTGAGGCAGGAGAATTGCCTGAACCCAGGAGGCGGAGGTTGCGGTGAGCCGAGATCGTGCCATTGCACTCCAGCCTGGGTAACAAGAGCGAAACTCCGTCTCAAAAAAAAAAAAAAAAAAAAAAAAAAGAAAAGAAAAATGATTTTCCAGAACCACACTAAAACATAAGAACATTTGATTATACACACACATCATAAACAAAAGAACGTTACTTACCGAATCCAAAAAGCAAAGGTAAGACCCTGAACTCTGGGCAACGGCTTGATTCTTAGAGTATCCAACTGTGGAAAAAGAAGAGCAAAACTCCTTTATAATTCAGTTTCCAGCAGCATTCTCTTTCACAGAGCTTAGTAAACGATATCCCATAAAAAGCTAGAACACTTTGCACGGCCACCAAAAATCTGGGTCAGCTTTCAAAGGAGTGAAAGGAAAGTCAGAGAGAGACAATGTTCCACATTTGGTAGGTGCTGTGAGGAGAACAAGATAAAACAGAGTCCACCTGGCACGTCATGAAAGTCCATCACACTCAGCGGAGGAAGAAAATGAGGTGGGCCTTTACTGGGCACAGCACTAAGCTAAGCCCTGGGAATATTTTTTAAATAAAATTAAAATGCCCCCGGAAGGAAATCTGTAAAGTCTACTCTGACGAAAGTCAGGATCCAGTCACAAGGGGGAAGCTGGGGGCTGGCAGGAGTGTGATGCGCTGGTGGAGGTCACTGAGCTGGACGCTCGGTGGGTGGTTTGCACGTGTGTGATGGGCCAGTGGAGGTCACCGAGATGGACACTCGGTGGGTGGTTTGCACGTGTGTGACGGGCTGGTGGAGGTCACTGAGCTGGATGCTCAGTGGGTGGTTTGCACGTGTGTGATGGGCTAGTGGAGGTCACCAAGCCGGACACTTGGTGGGTGGTTTGCATGTGTGTGATGGGCTGGTAGAGGTCACTGAGCTGGACGCTCGGTGGGTGGTTTGCACGTGTGTGATGGGCTAGTGGAGGTCACCGAGCCGGACGCTTGGTGGGTGGTTTGCATGTGTGTGATGGGCTGGTTGAGGTCACTGAGCTGGACGCTCGGTGGGTGGTTTGCACGTGTGTGATGGGCTGGTGGAGGTCACCGAGATGGACACTCAGTGGGTGGTTTGCACGTGTGTGATGGGCTAGTGGAGGTCACCGAGCCGGACGCTTGGTGGGTGGTTTGCACGTGTGTGATGGGCTGGTTGAGGTCACTGAGCTGGACGCTCGGTGGGTGGTTTGCACGTGTGTGATGGGCTGGTGGAGGTCACCGAGATGGACACTCAGTGGGTGGTTTGCACGTGTGTGATGGGCTAGTGGAGGTCACCGAGCCGGACGCTTGGTGGGTGGTTTGCACGTGTGTGATGGGCTGGTTGAGGTCACTGAGCTGGACGCTCGGTGGGTGGTTTGCACGTGTGTGATGGGCTGGTGGAGGTCACCGAGATGGACGCTCGGTGGGTGGTTAGCACGTGTGTGATGAGCTGGTGGAGGTCACTGAGCTGGATGCTCGGTGGGTGGTTTGCAAGTGTGTGATGGGCTGGTGGAGGTCACCGAGATGGACACTCAGTGGGTGGTTAGCACATGTGTGATGAGCTGGTGGAGGTCACTGAGCTGGACGCTCGGTGGGTGGTTTGCACGTGTGTGATGGGCCAGTGGAGGTGACCGAGATGGACACTCGGTGGGTGGTTTGCACGTGTGTGATGGGCTGGTGGAGGTCACTGAGCTGGACGCTCGGTGGGTGGTTTGCATGTGTGTGATGGGCTAGTGGAGGTCACCAAGCCGGACACTTGATGGGTGGTTTGCACGTGTGTGAGGGGCTGGTGGAGGTCACTGAGCTGGACGCTCGGTGGGTGATGATCTTGCATGCATCTCTATGATGAGCTGAATGTGCTGCCACCATCTACAACACCAGCGTGGATGCACATCCCATGACCCTGTGCTGATCATAACAGACCGTGCGGCATAAACCCAGCAGAGCATAACCTATGCGGCCAAGAGCAGCGCTGTTATAAGTGCTCAAACCTGGGGACTCCCCAAGTGCAGAACAGAAAAGCTGGAACACACAGGCCAAGGAGATACACACCAGGGCTGTACACAGAGCATGGGCACCTCTCCGGGGCTGCTGAGCAGAGAAGGGAGCGGCTGCCGGATGGGGCACTGGCCCGGAGTGCGAGGGCGGCCGAAATTCTTCTGTGCTGTGAGAAACTAGGAAAGTGGCCGCCCCTGGGGAGGGAGGTAACTGAGGGGCCGCAGGGGCTTCAGGGCCTGTGATCCCCCCAAGTGCCACAGTATGATTATGACACATACTTTTCTGCATTGATGTTGTATTTTAATAGGAGTAGAACTGAGCTGGAAAAAGAGCTGAACGATGCCGCCAAATGAACAGGATTGAAAACGAGGTTGGGGAGGCTTAAAGGAAGACAAGGTCCCGGCTAGGGAGACGTGGCAGGAACCCGAGGCTGTGGAAAATGTAAGCCGACAAAAGCAGAGCAGGGCAGGCAGACCCCGGTCCCAGGGCTGTGCTCGCACTGGCCACCTTCGGGAGAACGGCCCGCTGGGCCAAGAAGGCTCGACATTCCTCTGGCGGGAAGGATAGCCAAGGAAGGTTCTGAACGAGGAGGAAGAGCAGAAGCCGGGGCACGGCAGGCTCAGCTAGGACGCTGACGCCAGGATGGATGAGAGGCGGCATTTGGCCACAACGCGGGTGCTGAGGAGGCTGCAAGGGGCAGGACCCCGCTTTCCCTAGAAAAGACGCTGGCAACACCTGTATCACGTTAACCAGACAGCTACAGAGGTGATGCCACCCAGGAAAGAAACACAAAGCAAATCAGATGCGCGCAGAGCTCAACAAGAAATCTCTCCGGCAGACAAATCAAGACGAGCTGCAGAAAGTTGTTGGTCTGAGGAGATGTGGCCGAGGGTGCAGTTCAGCCACACCGTGGCACTCCCTGGTTTCCACTCCAAGGAGGGGAGGGCAGGGCTCCCTCCCATGGGGGCTGTCCTGTTTCCTGGGGCACCTGGCAAGCTCACGGGACCACCGGCCCATGCGGGCAAGCTCACGGCACCACCGGGACCACGCGGGCAAGCTCACGGCCCACCGGGACCACGCGGGCAAGCTCACGGCACCAGCGAACCACGTGGCCGCACAGAAGTGGAAGCACAGTCTCCCACCCTCTCTGCGTTCTCCAGCCGGGAGCAGTGCCCTCTACAGGGGTGGGGGTTCATAGGCGGTTGCAGTTTAATTTTTAGCATTAATCCCTGAAGTTTGGATCCCAGATGTGGGAAATCCAGGGGTGTGAGAGGCGCAGGGAGGAAATGCACCTGGAGGTGAGCGCCTGCTTCGCCATGGGCCAGACGGTGGCCTCCACCACCCTGCAGGGCACGGCGAGCTCCCAGAAGCTCCTCTTGAGAAACAGGGGCAGAGAGCACCTGTGAGAACAAGGGACCACGAGGACCCCTCCACGGGGCCTTCCACGGGCATGCCGTGGTCACAGGGGCTGTGCTCACAGCAGGGCTTATGAGTGTCAGGTTTCAGGGGAGAATCGAATCCGTGAACTTGGGTAATGAAGGAAGACTTATCTCACTCAGGAAGCTGGAAGTTTCTCACAGTGAATCCTGTGTTTGACAAAGACAAGGAATTTGCTTTAATATCATCGCCTTGAAGAAAGTCAAATGTTTGAGTGGGGCTACTGTTTGGGAAGCCAGTCCTTTGTGAGGGGATCCGGTTGCCATGGTCCCAGCAGGAAAACTCACACAGCGGCAAGATACTAACATTCCTTCCTCCTGGAGAGGAGGGGGTGGGACCCCGCTTGATTTTGGTTTTCGCAAGTGGCCACGTTATTAAGAAATCTGGTGCTCCATTATTGCATGAAATTACAGCAAACAAATCAACCTCTTTCAAATACCCAGCACTTCTGAAGACAGACACTCTGGATCTATGTTATTTAACAGTCAATATAACTCCCTATTTAAGAAAAATATTCTTACAGGAAAATACGTCCCTTTCAGATAGAACCAAACCGACCCCAATGTATTAAAGTGCAGAACAGGGTCCCCACGAGGGCTCCCTGCCCACACCTGACAGGCAGCAGATGGTGTGTGTCCTTCAGAGCTTTATGGCGATTGCTTTATTATTGACAGAACTAATACAAACGGGATGTGTTCAAGTTACAGCTACCCTACAAAAAGCGTTTTGTGGAAGGCAAAATGCTTTGAAAATGGACAAATACTTTTAGACAAGGAGTGTCACAACGGTCACCAAAGCACTTTAGATTTGTTTTCATTCACCTACAGAAGAAGCCAAACACCCTCTAACTGTCTTTAACTTAAAAGGATCTTAAAGGCTGGTTATAGTCGTTTCAGAAGCCAATTTGTTTACACGAATTTCAGAAGCAAGTTGAAATGGATGTTCCACAATAACCAATTTGTAAGGAGTTTTCTATTCCACCATACCTGGCTAATATTAAAAAGATTGTTTCAGCAACAGGGTCTCACTGCGTTTCCCAGGCTGGTCTCAAACTCCTGGGTTCAAGCAATCTTCCCACCTCAGCCTCCCAAAGTGCTGGGATTGCAGGTGTGAGCCACATGCCCGGCCACATCTGTTATTTTTCCAAGTTCGTGTTGAAAGACCCTTTCCTGGACACTGCTGTGGCCACCGCACCCTCGGCGTGTCTCAGTGGACAGGGCAGCTCCCGGCCGGGCTCTCCTCCTGCAGCACTTTGAGGCTCGGAGGACGTGGGAGTGAAGTTGACTCTCAGGTGCGGGGCTGGGCTGGTGGGTCAGCTCCTGGGCCTGCAATCCCAGCACCCTGGGAGGCTGCGGTGGGAAGAGTCACTAAAACCACGTTTTTGACCTTAGCCAAGTGTGGTGGTGCGTGGAGGGTGCCGGAGCCCCACGTCGAGGCTGCAGTGAGCTGCAGCCTGGGTGACAGAGCGAGACACTATCCCAAAAACAAACAAAAAAACACACAAAAGATGCTTTTTCTTTTAAATGACCAACTTTTAAAAATTATTTTATTTCTAATTATTTTTATTATTTATTTATTTATTTATTTATTTATTTATTGAGATGGAGTTTCGCTCTTGTTACCCAGGCTGGAGTGCAATGGCGTGATCTCGGCTCACCGCAACCTCCGCCTCCTGGGTTCAGGCAATTCTCCTGCCTCAGCCTCCTGAGTAGCTGGGATTACAGGCACACACCACCATGCCCAGCTAATTTTTTATATTTTTAGTAGAGACGGGGTTTCACCATGTTGACCAGGACGGTCTCGATCTCT